TCACCTCCGGGGCAGGCGGGAATCGAACTCATGCGGAAGCGGCTTTAGATTCTCAGTGCTGTGCTTTAACCCGCTGCGCCACCAGGGAGGGCCCTACAGTCCACTTTTTAAGTGTTTTTGGAGAACGTTCCTCAGTGTAACAGTGTTACATGTACCACTGAAATATGGGTTTATTTTAAATTTTTCAATTTATGATCAATACACATTTGTGAAAATAGGTAAAATGCCAACAAGGTGTTTTCATATTCATAATTAGTATTAATGAATAATTTAATATTTAAAAATGCAGTATGTGTATATATTACAAAAAAGTTTTAGAATTGAGAATTTTTGCTTTCTATTAAATATTACTGGAACAACTACCATAAGATAAGTAAGCAAACAAAGTAGACCTCTGGTAGAGATGAAAAATAACTAAAATATATACTGTATAAGAGGAAATAAAATAGGACCTCCAAAAGTGACATTTGAGTAGAGCCTTGAAGGAAGATTGTGCAAGTAGGGTGATAAGGGAGGAGAATCAATTCCAGCAGAGGATATAAAAAGTAAAGAAGTTTTGAGACAGATAATGCTGCCTATGCTTGTGAGAACAATGTATGAAAGAGAGATGGGAGGTATCGACTCACCTTTTCTTATTTCGCTATAGAACCAATGAATTAAATACCTTTTCGTTTTAAAGAGGGAAACAATGGCTGTGAAAGGTTGTACCTCTCCCACAGTTTCTATCATAGTGCTCAGCAGTCTTTGGACCTTTCAGTAGAACTTACTAATACAACTCTATGTGAAAGATGAGCTCCAAATCATAAGCCAAGTAAAAAGAAAAAGACCCTATATGACTTTGATTCTCAAACACAACCACTTGAAATAATCACTTAGCTCAAGACATTTATACCCCCTGAAGTTTGACAAACCCTTTAGGAAATGATGCCTGATTCTAGAAGTATCTGTAAATATTGTCTGTACTTTGTGCGGATAAGAGTTAGTAATAGGAACTAAAGAATAGGACACTTTTTTTTTTTTTTGGCTAGGAGCAGCTCTATGTAGTAGAGAAGACAAACAATTTATATGTTATAAATACTCCCATAAAAATGTATACATACTGTATAAGAAGCAGAAATGAAGAAATTACAAATGAGGTACTTCAACTGGTTCTTGAAGAATTAGGTATGAGTAATGAAAAGAGTTAAGAAATGCACTCTAGGCAGATAGTGTAGTATAGGAAAAGATATCAAGACACAAAACATTTGTGGCATATGGAATAGACTTGTATATACTTTTTCTTCTTTAAGGCATTACAGTACTTACGTAAGCTGTGCAACCATCCGGCATTAGTCTTAACACCTCAACACCCAGAATTCAAGAGTACTACTGAAAAACTGGCAGTTCAGAATTCTTCTCTTCATGATATTCAACATGCCCCTAAACTCTCAGCTTTGAAACAAGTAAGTACAGACTTTTAGGATTTCGATGTGTGTTACATACTCACAATGTATAACATTAGATAAATGTAGTTTTCTGAAAGGTTACTGATATGTCATTTTTTGTTATAAGCTTTTAAATAACTTAAACAATTAAGTGTATGATTTTTGTGGGATTAACACTTATTTGCAGTGTAATATAATTACACTATTTCCAGAATTTTTCTTCACCATAACAGAAGCTTTGTCTTCATTAAGCAGTAACTTCCCATTCTCCTTTCCTTTAGACCAGCAGCATAGAACCTACTTGCTGTCTCTGTGAATATGCCCATTCTAAATATTTTGTTATTTGTCTAGTCCTTTTATGACTTGACTTATTTAAGGTTCATTCTTGTAGCATGTATTCAGTTCATTTTCATGGCTGAATAACATTCCATTTCAGTAGTAATGATGATGATGAATAATTAGATGCAATTTATGCAACATCTTATTTATCCAGTCATGCATTGATGAATACTTAAACTGTTTCCACATTTTGGCTATTGTGTATAATACTTTAATGAACATGGGCTTATAAGTACCTGTTTGAATTTCTCTTAAGCGCTTTTAGATATAGACCTAAGATTGAAATTGTAGTATCACATAGCAATTCTGTTTAACTATCAAACTATACGTTTTAACTTATTTTTATGCACTGGTTTTTGTAACTTAGTACTTGAACTGATCTCTCATCTTAAAGTGCCTCTTGTCACCCTGAAATGTTTGGAATTAAGATGCTTAGGCACTCTGCAAATTAAGGAGGATCAGATTGTTTCTGACTATACTCAGAGCTCTTTTAGAGCCCTGTCTTTCCGGTTTTTTTTTTTTTTTTTTTTCCAGTTCTTTTCAGCCTTTCAGAGTAAAGGTTCTTTCTCAGGAGAGCAGTCTTTACCGTCCTTTCTCTGAAGAGATAAGTCATGTTGCTTTTTTAAAATCTGGTACTAGCAAGAGAAATAGTAATCAGCAAATAAAGTGCCAGAAGTATCTAATATTGCTACAGCAATCACCAAATTTATATCAACATTAACATAACCTAGAACAATGTATATTCATTCTATTGTACATTTATTTTTATTGTATGTATATGAGAAATAGTAGCTTAAAAAAACTTGGGATAATTTAGCTTTTGTTGAAATTAGGGTAAGATAATATTAAGTTGGCTCTGGTGGGCCAACTAATCTCTCAGACATTATGTCAGGTAGCCTTGGTAATAACTACCTAGATCCTAATAATTGGCTTTCCAAAGCCCCCTGTTAGGTATCAAAATACTTGACTGTTGTAAAAGGTTATTGAAGAAACCAGAATGCTACCAGACAGGATTGATGTCAAGTACCTGTCTAAATACCCCTCATAGGGATAGCTACACTGGAAGATTCTATCAGGAAGACTGGTTAATTTTGGACTTCAGAAAGAATCTTAGTTGGATGTTCTTAAATATGACTGAGTTCCTGTAAGGCTGATAGTGCTAAGGTTGTCCTAATGACTGAGATTATTGAATGTACATAACAAACTTTATAAATTCTCACTCCAGCGTTCCTGTTTTATAGAAACCATGCTGCTTATTCCATTAATTATATCACTTTCTTTATATTGGGTGTACTACACAACCATATATTAAAATACCCTAGATGGAAGTTTTAAAGAAGAATCTATCTTAGGTAGTGTTCTAATTACAAGTTTAGGGGCAAGTATTAGGGATAGTTATTAAGATACCATTTCTTTCTTCCATTTGGAGGCATTCCTTTATGTGTATCACATGGCTTTTATATCCAGAAAGGGAGAAAAACTTAATCATTAAAAAGGTAAAGTAGAAGCATTTTTAGGTAAAAAAGAAAAATTGTTTTTCTCCCAGCATCAAAATACTAGGACACATGGTGAAGTGCTCTCGTTGACCAGGGGAGCTCTTTACAGACTGGGTGCCCAAAGTTTGTATCGTGTCTAATCAGTAAGTAATTTCTGCCTGTTACATGCCAAAATCCTAGATTTCCAAGGAAATAAAAGGTGTCAGCATAAATTATGGTCTGTGTAACCGTTTAAGGACAGTATGCTATTCTTATCAGCTAGGATGGACCGAGAAATCTAAATCCAAGTTCCCAGACTTCATTCAGCTACGGGCCAGCCCTTACAAGCAGGAATCTAAGGAAAGCAGTTCAGGCATGCTAAGTTAATCTTGTTCTGGAGAGTGCCCAGAGAGTTCAGCATTGAATGTAGAATTTGTCTGCATGGCGGGCCTTCCCAACTGTGCTTTCAGTTTCTGAGTAACTTTCACTAGTAGAAATGAGAAAGCACCCTGCTCTAAGGTGAAAAAAAAAATTTAGTTTCTGAAGATTATGGGAAGGTTACTGTTGAGTCCTTTAGTTTCCCAAAGTGATCTAAACATGATTTTCCTGGATTTTGACCATACATGAATATTGTACCTGCTACACATGCCAGGTGCCAGAGCCATTAAGTAGCAGCACATCCAGGAGATCTAGGAATATGCTTTTAGCTCGTTTTTTGTTTTGCAATTTTAATTTTGTCAAATTCAGCTTTTTCATTTTCTTTACTTTCTTTCATGAACCATTTTGCATGGGTGTTTTTGTTGTCAGTTACTACTTTCAATAGACATTTTTGAGGCTCTACTGAGCCTATAGGAACTAAGGAAAGGGGAGAAAGGTCTGGTCAGAGGTGACCAGGAATTGCTAAGCCTGAGCAGCTCAAAAACTAGTTTCAGATGCTTCGGGGTGAAAGAGTGACTGTCCAAAGTGTTAATCTGCTTTGCAGGTGACAGGTACATTTAACCTTTTCTCACCATGAAGAGAAATATTTGTTGCAGGTGAAATTGGCTACCCGCTTTTACTGAGTACCTTTTAACAATTTTTTCCCCCAAGTTGCTCTTGGACTGTGGTTTAGGAAATGGCAGCACTTCAGAGAGCGGCACAGAGTCTGTGGTGGCCCAGCACCGGATACTTATCTTCTGTCAGCTTAAAAGCATGCTCGATATAGTAGAACATGACCTTCTCAAACCTCACTTGCCCTCTGTCACTTATTTGAGATTAGATGGCAGCATACCTCCTGGCCAAAGGCATTCCATTGTTTCACGGTAAGTTCCAGCACTCTTACAAATCAAGTGATAGTCTGTATTATTACTTACACAGAAGTTTGCCTCATGAGATATTTTCTTTAGCTAACTATCTGCAAGTGTATTAATCCAACAAGTCCTTTTTAAAATAACAATTACAGAAAAGTAATTGAAAAGCTTTCTGACTTAAAGAGTGAGCATTACAAGTAGCTTGAGATTGTTACGTGTAAAAAATTAGAAGCCATGAAAGAACATGAGACAGGCATACCCAGATTTGACTTTCCTGATAACAGCCTTATGTAGCATTATTGTAATAATTAAATAACAATGCATTCATAGTGAGAAAATATTAAATAGTAGCTTGGTAGCTGCTGTTAATTACTGTTGGCTACAGTGTTAGTCTTCCTTACCTTAGAAGCCACTAGATGTCCTTTGTCGATATCATTTAGGACTAGTACAACAGTGGCAACCCTTAGCCTCTGCCTTCCCTGAAAGATCTAACCTGTTTTGCACTCTCCTGTCTCCATATTTTAAAGGTTTTTTACTTGACTATAATTAGTACTTACATTGTTACAGCTTAGTCTTCGATTTCTACAATACAATCCAGTTGGACTTGTTTTTATGAAATTCTGACATGTTCTGGAATACTTTTTTTCTATTATATATATTCGTTTCCTTAATTTTTAGTAAACAATCCAAGTTTGTTTTAGCTGCCTTAGAAATGTGCTAATTTTATTTTAATCTTATGTTTTTAGGTTTAACAATGACCCATCCATAGATGTTCTTTTACTTACAACTCACGTTGGTGGCCTGGGGCTTAACTTAACAGGTGCTGACACAGTAGTATTTGTGGAACATGACTGGAATCCCATGCGTGATCTACAAGCCATGGATCGGGCCCATCGCATTGGGCAGGTAAAAAATAAAATCACATATGTAAATCTGTACACTGAGAAAAATAACCTCTCCCAAAAGTTAAGCCTTGATTCAAGTTCCTAGACATGACATTATGCAAGTCACTTAATTCTCTAGCACTACTTCCTCATGCATTAAATGAGGTGTTCAAGTGAAAAAAACCAGGACATAATCTAGTTACAAACGCACAAAATGGGCCCTCTCTGGTGGCACAATGGGTTAAAGCACAGCACTGTAAGCTAGCTGCAGCCACTTTAGTGCTAGTTCAATCCCCAGAGGTGAGCCACATGACAGACCTCTCCTGACCCACCCACTGCTCCCCTCCAGTCTGTCTCTGGTGAATCCTCTCACCTGTACCCCAGTTCTATAAGCATAAATAAATCAATAAATCTTTAAAAAAAAAAAGGACATCAAAGGCAGGCAGACCCAGGTATACTCCTGGGTCTGCATACTATTTAGTCAGCATGCTCTTAGACTTGTTATTCCTAACAGGATGTGGTTCCTTGCCGACATTTAGCTCTTAGTACTAGTTAAAGAAAATCTGCATCCTGACTGTTAAGTGTCTATTTTAAGTATATGTAAGCCCCCAATTTGGTAAACCTCAGAACTTCTTTTTCTCATTTAGAAACGTGTAGTTAATGTGTACAGATTGATAACCAGAGGAACACTGGAAGAGAAAATAATGGGTTTGCAGAAATTCAAGATGAACATAGCAAATACTGTTATTAGCCAAGAGAATTCTAGTTTGCAAAGTATGGGAACAGATCAACTTCTGGATCTTTTTACTCTTGATAAGGTAAGAACTCAGCAGTTTGCTTTATCTTTAAGCAGTTCATAGACTTTCTGGTAAAGGCATTCACTTCGGTGTTAACTAAACCCATGTCCAGATGAAACTTTAGAATACTCAAAGATGTATGATGGCTATTTGATTGCTCTCTAGTATCCTGTGTCAAAATTTCATTGCTTAGTTTAGTCCTTTTCTGCCAAAGGACAGTCATAACTGGATTCAACTAAATGTGGATCTGTTTCTCGCTCTATCTATCATGTGGTGACCTTATGCAAAATACTTGTCTGAACACCCATAGAAGGATAACAATGCCTACATGGATTTGAAGATAATATATGCAAGTTCTTAGCGTATTGACTATCAGTAAAAGTTAGCCATATTCTTGTTGTGGATAGTATCAGTAACAGTCTACAATCAAAAGGATGTCCCAGCTAGGAAATATTGCTCAATCTAGTAATGGGTTTAAAGGCATGCATTGGTTGAGAAAGTGAATTGTATGTACAGTATTATTATCTAGCTGTAACTATAAAGGCATTGTTTAAATCTGACAGAATGTAGCTTCAAGGTATAATGTGCTAAGCCACATTTTCTGAGTCCCCAAGACATTGCCAGAAGGGAAGTTTCATCAGGTAGGCCAAAACAGGTGGACTTAGCGGGATGAAAAGAGCTAGTACCAAGAAAGATGCCATTGAGGCAACTGGCAAAATTTGAATAGACTGTTTTGACTTTGGTTGTATATGAATATACATTTGTTTGGAATGTCATGCAGATTCTAATAAAGGGAACCTGCAACTTCTAAAATCAGATTTTAACCATAGTTATACAAAGCTAATGAAACAATTAAAAGTGAGTTCTCTAAGTTTCCTGTGGTTTTGTGATTTTCCCCAAATAAAAAGCTTAAGCTAGGAAAACAGAACAGACTATCAGATGAGATCATGAACTTTCCCTTCACTTAATGTGTTAATTCTATTGAGGAAGTGCAGTTTTAGAAACATAAGTGATAAAGAAGAAATTAATTTCTAAAGTTATCTTTCTGTAAATTTTTTTAAGGATGGTAAAGCTGAAAAGGCTGACACGTCTACTTCTGGAAAAGCAAGTATGAAATCAATTCTTGAAAACCTGAGTGATCTTTGGGATCAAGAGCAGTATGATTCAGAATACAGCCTGGAAAATTTTATGCATTCTCTCAAGTAACTATCAAATATTGTAAATGTAATTGCTGCTAGTTCAGTTACATTTCTGCTGATATTCAGCAAATTTCAAAGTTTATGGTGAACTTTTAGCTCTATGTGTAAATAGATCTGAAGAATATTCAGCACAACGCTGGTTCTTGTTTCACTGGGGGGAACAAGTATTCTCAAATATTTGCACTGTATTAAATTTAAATATTAATGTGAAATGATTTAAATTTTACATGCTGAATAGCTGCAGAGCAGAGGAACCAAACCAGGTTTACATGTGCTACCATGAGGTTCTCACTGGGAACGAGCCTCCTGTCTCTACATAGTCACTTTGTACAGCATAATATTCATGAGTACTTTAGTGTTCATGTACATTTTTTTCCTTTTAAATAGAACTTGTTTTTATAAATGATTTAAATGGGGCTTTTTTTTCTATAAAAGCCTTAATGAGCCATAATTTGAATAATGACTACAATATTGGTCAATCTTAAGACAATGAACTGAACCAGACCCTTGGTGGAAATCTTTATAAATGCAGATGAATATAGTGTTTTCCAAATCTTTAACATCATTTTGTCAATTTTTAATATATCAAATACAGGTAATGGTCTATTTAAGGCTATGTAACATCCTAGTAAGAGGGTGTTTTTTTAATTTATCTAATGGCTAAGATATAGCCAGATTCAGAGAACATATGTACTCAATAGGTTTCAATCATATATAATATATTTTTTGTAACTATGAACCTATACAGTTCTCCTGAAGTAGATTTTACATTGTTTAGAATTCTAAAGCCTATGGTGAAAAGACTGTTTATTGTAGTAATGCATGATTGGAGCATAAAAGGGAAAGATTTCTTTAAATACACAAACATACATAAATACACATATCTATATGCACAGATGTTACCTATCCTGCATCTGAAAAGGTGCTTGGTACTGGCACTAAAATCATGTAGTTTTACTGAGCAGCAATAATAACTGGGCATGAAAGTGATTAATTAGTGTTAGAAAAGTGAGCTCAATGTGAGGGTGGATCTATGTATATAGGTATGCAAGTACCTGTATGTACATAATTTTATAAATTCACACATAAATTAATACATGCCTGTGTGCATATATGTATGAGATACATTTGTATATACATGTACAGGTAATAAACACCCCCCAAGTTTTGTGACTGGCCATACACATAGGCATCGGTTTAAAAAACCATCAGACCTCAGCTGTATTTTTTTGTTTAAAATCACTTATACTGTTCTGCAGCATTTAGACATGGACATGTCATGTTTCAGTAGCTTTGACAACCAAACTGTAACATTAAACTTAGCATTCCACAGAGAATAAACTGAAACTGTAAAATATGCAGCTGTGTGTTGTTTGTAAGGTTCTAAAAATGTTTAATGTAAAAGATCAAAAGGAAACTCAGCTTTATCGGGAGTATCCATTGTATATAATGTGGGTAGCTGAGCAATAAGTGAACTGCCTTATACAGGCTCACACTAATTGACACATTGCTTCCCTGGTATTATTAAAGCAATGGGGAAGGGTAGAAGAATTCATCCCATAAAGGTTTACTCAATCTATGTGTGTCTTAATATTGTTGGAAGCATAACAGTGATTCCTTTTCCCAGTCAGAAGTGGCAGAAGATAGTATGACTGCATCTAAAAAGTAATCTTTTCAGTTATGAAAATTAACTCACAAATAAAGTTCTTACATAAGAACTAAGTATTCTCAAGTAAGTGACCCATTTAGTCATAAAATATTGCTTAGGAATAATGGATACCTAGGGAATGACATTAAACATAGTAAATGATGATACAAATTGAAGATGCTAATTTTGTGAGTGAGATATGGTAGTTGTAAAATGTGTGCGTGTGGGAGCTAAAGCATGTGAGAATGTCGGTGATATCTTAAGGTGTGGGAAGTGGGCTCATGGAGGTCCCAGTGCACTGGTCACCCTTGTGTGTGTACTATACAAAATTTGAAGTAGTTTGAAAACTATTTAGAGATCAGAATCATCAAATGTTTTCTGTAGGAAAAAATCTTCTGTGCTAAAGACTTACTACTAAATTTCGAGTTTCTGGGCATCATTTTTGTTGTATATAGCCACAAACCTACCTCCAACAACTCTTATTTATTCAGCAGAGCTGCTCATAACAGTTACAAGAGTGAAAGTCTGAGAAGGAATTAATAAGTCAGTGTAGCTTATCCTTTGAGGTTAGCTATATAAGCATATGCAAAAAGCACATACTTCAGTAAAGCTAGTTGAGTGTGACCACTTAGAGACAAGTGAGGAAACCACAAAAGCGAAATTATAGAAAAGAAAAAGCATTTTATCACACAGTTGTTCCAAATATTTAATCCCAATATATTCTACCTCCTGGTTCAAGCCAGATCTCTATTTCCTAGAACACACACTGCTGGTAGTGGAATCTAAAGGAAACTGACTTCAAGAACATATGTTACTGAGGTCCAGAGTATACACTGTGAAACCCTATCATGAAACTTGAGTTGTGCCAATTAATAGAAAATGTTTGCTGGTCATTCTAGCCATCATCTCTGAAAAGATTTTTGTTTCCTCAAGAAAGATTTCTTATTAGTCTGTCAGACTCCCTCAAACCAGTCAAGTTCTGTTGAAGAATATAGACACTAAAAATCTGGTGTCTGTAGGAGCAAGAAACTTGGATTTGGGTCCACAGAAGAACATGGACCTATAACTGAATTCCTGCTACAGTTCCTGTATTCACACGGGGCTTGTCTGTCCTTGAGCCCAGACAAGCAAAGTCAGCAGAGAAATTAAAATCCATGGCCTGCACCCACAGGTAAATTTAAGGTCTGGGTTTATGCTGAAAGCACAAGTCAAGAAAGTAGCAAATCACTCTGGGATCTCATAGAAACAAACACAAAACTGCCCCCTGGGGACAGTTTCAGATGTGGCCCCACAGGATTACCTAGAGGAGGAATTCTAAGATTAGTACAGGTGTTCACACAACCTACAGGGGACAGTCAGCACCCAAAAGGAAAAGTGAGCATGTGCAAATATGTAAATAGGTTCTCTAAAACTACAAATAGAATGATCTAGAAATACTACAAGTTCATTAGGGTACAGAAAGCTAAAGACTAGGCATATTCAAAAATGAGCCAATAAATGAAAAATGTAAGAGTTGAAAATTGATGGCAATCAATGCCAGTTAAACATAGTTGAAGAGAACTTGTAGACCTGCAATAGGATATACAACTAAATAGAAAATAAAATGAAAAATATGAAAGATCAGGCAGTTATCACAGGACATGGAATGAGAGCTCATAAACACTTGTCATGCAAGAGACAACACCGTCACCATTGTCTCTTTCTCCACAGCCCTCATCTAATCCACGAACAATTTCTCCAGTCCCTAGCAGCAAATGTATGCCAGATCTCCACCTCCCCTGCTGCATTACAGCTCCCAGACACACGAGTGGCTTTGTGACATCAGACACTCTTAAACGCATGACCATGGTTTCCAAGCCTTTAGATTGTGAGTCCCTCTGCTCATCCCTGTCATTTACCACACTCAAGTCAATCTTTCATCCTTCCATACCTCGGCAAGAAGCCAGATATGCTTATCTTGCTATTTCTTGTACAACTGTCTGAATGGTGTCAGGAGCTAGGGAACACTGACAGGAAGGGGAGGATGGGAAACCAAGATTCAGCCTTTGCTTAACATTTGAGATCCCTGCTACCTACCAAAACGGAGATGCTGAGTAGACAGGAGGACATAGGAGTCTAGAGCCTCCTAGACTACAGAGAGAAGTTTGGTATTTTAAAGTCAAGAACTGAATGAGAGCTATTAAAGGAGGTTCTATCACAGAACACTATATATAGCAATGAATATCAAATGCATGATAAAACAAAGATAAATTTCAAAAATGAGTAGAGTATCATCGTTTGATTTCATTTATATGAAGAATAACAACCTTCCTACATATACTGTGATATGCCAAAGACAGGCCCTCTCCCTAGTGGTCTAGGGGTTAAGTCCCAGTGCTGGCATCTCGATGGCCTCAGATGCCCAGCTAGGGAGCTGACCCACATGGTGCAGCAGACCTCTCCTGACCTGCCCACTGCTCCCCTCAGCAGTGTAGTTCAGTCCATCTGCCTGTTCTGCTCCCCACTGTCTCTCTGAATCCTCTCACCCCCTGTACCTCTGGCCTGCATCCCATCTATGCATAAAATGTAAATCTTTATAAAAATATAACAATTTTCGGGGGGGTGGGGACAATGACTAGATATCAGTGTTTTCGTGGGGAAAAGTGACAACAGAGAAGAGAGGAACAACTAATAGTTTACTTAGAACACACTGGGGCCTGGTGAGCTGGCTGCAACATGGACTGAGGGGCTCATATTAATCTGGGGACTACATTGGAGAGGGGAACACACAACCAGGTATGGAAAACAGGGTCTTCCTCCAGGGAGCAGCAGGCTTCTAAGGAACAGAGAGCAGCAGCCAAGCACTGGCGGAGCAGAGGGATACTGGTATGGCTGATGCCACGTGGCCAAAAACCAAGAGCCAGGGCTGAGGGTAGAATGCCTGGCCTGCCTCCCACAAAGGGCACCTGAGGCCACCAGACAGCCCCTACTACTCCTGATGCAGCCTGAGGCCAACGTAGTGGAGGCAGCTGGAGGTTGAGCCTTTCGGGAAAACCTAGTTAGTGGCACTTGTTGGAAGCAAAACAAGGTCCCCTGGGAGCCCCACCCCTGCTGGGGCCATCACTGAGATAACATTCTCCTGAACCCCTTGCTGCCGCTAGACTGAGCTTCAGGCCCTGGTGGTAGGAGCTTTTTCCTCTGGGTGGAGTTCTGATGGTAGAAGTTGCTGGGTACACACCCTGCTCTGAGTCTCCTACCATAGCTCCCTCCTGAGGCTACAGCCCCCCACAATACAGAAAGGTCTGGAGGCAGCCTTGTATGGACAGCGCCACTGGAGGCAGCAAAGCATCTGCAGTCCCAGGCCACAGCTCCCACACTGCTGCGCACACTCCTGAGAAAAATTTCGGGTGCAGACACTGCAGACCAGAGCTGGACCCAGCCGAGTGGGTCGCTTAGCCAGAGGCTGGGAAAGTTCTGAATGAGGATGGACCAGAGAAAGGGACATTGCAGATCTCCCCTCAGCTGGCACGCACATTGTGCTTAATTTTGGGGCTTGAGTTTTGGACGCTGGGACAGTGACCAGTTCTGCCCTGGCTCATACCCTTTGCCAGCACTTGAGTTCCAGTCATCCAAACGGGCAGAGGCATCCATTTACACAGCAGCAGATATGCCCATAGTTTAAGCAAATAATCTTGCATTTTATCCTACAACCTGTAATTTTAATATAAGATCAAGACCTCAGTGAACAAAAGCTATTGAGCTCAACCAGTAGAAATGAAAAGCTAAAGCACTGTTAGGGATATAAAACAGAACAATATATGTGGACATTTTCACACTCTCAGACACAACAAAAGTTCAAAGACCAGTGCGCAGAGGGATACAAAGCCAATGCTTTATAGAGTTATATGTACAAAAATAAATGCCTCTAAGGTCACTGGAAGATTTTAACATAGCTTCTTTAAGAACAAGCAGACTAGGAAAAAATGCAACAAGAGACAGATTATTTTAATACAGTTAACAAATGAATGTCACAATATGCTCAACAATTGCAGAGTTCATTCTTCGGAAGCTTAAACTAAAACTGACCATATACTGAGCCGTAATGCCAATCCTAGCCAGCTTATTAAAAGGCCGAGATTCCACTTTCTCCTATTCAACAATGTACTTGAGGTTCTTCCCAAGCAATAAAGTGATAAAAGGAAAGCATACAGCTGAGAAAATAATAAAAACTTTCTGTTTACACTAATTGTCTATGTGGAAAATGCCAAGCAATTTACATGAGAGAGAATAGAATTAAGTTTGGAAAGTTTGCAGAATACAAAACCAGTGTAGTTTTTTTTTGTACTAGCAATCTATACTATATATATAAAACCTTACATTTATATATAGTATAGTTATGAGTACTAGCAATAAAAAAACAAATTTTTACAGACTACATAATAGCACATGACCATGAAACTGATAAAAGTCTTAAAAATAGAAGGTCTGTACATAAGGTATTAGGTTGAAAATGTCAAAATGCTAATGAAAGACCTTGAAAGTGGAGGAGTACACCATATTGTAGACTGAAAATAGAATAAGGCAAATCAAATAAAATTTCTAGGTTATTAACTAGCAGTAAACTGTGAAAGCAACAGAATTGTAATCAAAGAATGATAAAAAGGGGACAGTTGGAAAACTAACATTCCAGATTTTAATGCTTATTATAAACATACAGTAATCAA